AGTGGTCGGCTCTTGAGAGGAACGTGGGACAGGTGTGTTGACCTGAGAGCAAAGGCATCCGTGAGTTACACGCAAGTCAATTTCTTGTGCAGACAAAGATGTGTTCGTCGTGAAACTTACCAGGGACATAGACTGTTGGGACTTTGGAGAGCAGGAAGCCGATCATGTTTACTGCTGCCTGGGGGAGGAAAAAAAAGTCATGATGGTGCATTGAACGAGTGTAAATGTCTCCCATTTTTCAGGCTGGCCCAAAGTTTGACTTCAGCACCTTGCGAATAACAGGAAGAAGTGTTGCCTGCAGGTCTGTGCTCGTGGGTGGACTCTGGCGGTGAGCAGGTTACTCCCTCTTGTGGCATGGAGGACCCAAGAACAATCTTCAACTCTGAATAATGAAAAGAGGCTTGTTGAAATCAGACTGTTTACCAGCCGATGGCGCCGAGTCACGTTTCACCTCATCGCACTGCAACAGCGCCATCTGAAAGACAAAGTACAGGTTGGTCGACACCAATTACAAACCAGAAACGCAGTTTCGTTTTACTCTGCTCCTCATTTTTCAACTTGCTTCCCAAGTGTTCACTGGAACCTTTTGCCGCGACAGTTGGTCGAGCGTGATCAACACCAACAGGCCAAGCTGCTCCTGGTCCAGTGACTCATCCAAGGTGGTCAAACCTGCCAAAACCACAAACGAGAGACCCATCAGACTTCTTTCGTACCTTTCAACGGCAACGTTGAAAATGGAGGCAGCAGTGAGGACCTGCTACAAGCTTGTCACATTTGTCCCTTTGCCCAGCAGGTGGAAGCTCTCGGGCAGCACTCTGACTGGAAGCTGCACTGCATGCAGGGTCAAAGAAAAAGCAGGTGAGTGTGCTAAACCGATGCAGTGCTCTTTGGGTGCAGCTTCAGTCACCAGTCTGCGTGTGCGACATCAGGTGGATCGTGACGCCACGTCTCCTGAGGGCCTGCCGACAAGCAACAGGTCCAAACGTTGAGGAGGGACGACTCGGCTTCAACGTCTATCGCGGGTCCTTGAGCACCCTCTGGTGGACAAAAACGCACATGTTGAGCCGGTGCCACTCTGCTGACAGTTTCCTTCCTCTCTTCCTGGTGCAACGCACCTGATTGGATAAGTGTGAGAGGGCCAGAATTAAGAGCCCCGCCACGGTTTGATTTGAGCCACAGGTGCACCTACTCAACCAGCAGGTCAACGAGCTTCCCGGTAATTGGTTGAGGAGAAACTCCTGTGGTTGAAGCCAAACTTTTACATTTCTGGTTTTTTACACCTGTGCCCAATCTTTAGTAAATCATGTGCCGATTTAACTCAGTCGTCACACGTGTATAAAAGGGTTTGCTTCACTTGTGAGGAGGGCAGAGGTGGACCCCTCTTCGACAGCACGGCGAACTGAAAGACACGGTAACGTCAGCTCTTGACTTTTAAATATTTAACCTTCCAAGTGCCTTGGTCAGCACCCCGATATTTGGTCGGCATGTCAAAGCCTTGTGAAGCCGGGGCCCAAAACTCGACAGGATGGCAGCCATTTTATGGGTCGTTCTGTCGACGTCAGCCTGTGGAGACAGAAATGACAATCGACACATGAGGATTCGGTCTGTCATACGGCGGTCGCTTAAAATTTGGCAGTTCTACCGTATTGCAGTCAATTTGGCCATTTTGTAGCAGATGTAAAGCCTGCGGATAGAAAAAAAAAGAGACAAATTAGATGGGCTTGCTCCAAACGGTTCAGGGATCAAATTCCACATTAAAATGCACAGCGAGTGGCCGGTGTTTAGTCCATTTGAAGATTTGTACCTGTGAACAGAAAGGACACAATTAACACGCATGCATGCACATTTGTTTGTTTTAACTGAATTTAGAAATGAGTTTTGTCTACTTACCCTCTCGGCGAACGTAGCTTTTGTCCTAGAAGGTTGGAAAAAAAAGGTTTTGTTGCAAAGCAAGGTCGCAGGAGACGTTGATTGCTCACACTCGAGCAAACATTTTTGCTGATTGTGTTAGCCAGGTGCGAGCACGTCGAAAGTGCTGCTTTCCATTCAAAGGGAGGCAAAGCGGTGTGTTTCAAGAGGCTATTAAAGAGTAAAAAAAGTCACCTTGTTGGAGTTTTCCGTGGGCTTCTGGACAGGCGTGCAGAGCAGGAGCAGCGAGAGGACGACCGGAGGCTGTCGAAGGTGAGAAAGAATGAGTGCCTCGAGAGCCCGCCTTAAATAGGTTTTTGCCAGTGACGTCACTTCCGGGAAGAAAACAAACTTTTAATTTGAAACCGGAAGTGAATGTGAAGATGTGTGGAAAAAAATCCGAGCGAAATGACGAGAGCTTAGCGAAAGGACGGCAGCGGGGCTCGAACCAGAGTTCACCAGTGGAAAATCCCTGTCATATACCACTGGACTGTCTTTCCACGGTGGATTCGTCTACTATTACATATATCCATCGTCATTAGTCCCATTGAAGAAGTACTATAAATATAACCATCCGAAGCGTTTTATTCACTGACCGAGCGTGGTCGAACGGATAACGATAATACTTGGTACCCGGGAAAACCGGGTTCGATTCTTGCTTAATTTATAAACGGAGCACATGGTGGGTCTCGAACTCGGTTCGCCGGACCACCATGCGACGTCTTTTACCATTCGGCCATCTGGGCACGAAAATTTCGAAATTTTTATATGTAGTCATAGATTGTCAGCCTCATGACGAGATTTAAAAAAAGGAACGTGTTTGGTTCGACGCATGGCATCGCTCGTGAAGTGTTCGCTTCTGGTTCAAACTTCTGACTTTGCCCCTGGACGAGGTGACGGGACACCCGGGTTCGACTTTTGCTCAATCTAATAAATGAAGAGCAAATGGAGGTTCGAACTCGGTCCGCCTGCATACCCAGCGATGTCTTTTCCCAACAGGCCATCCCGACACGAAAAAATTCCGATTTTTTTTCTGTAGTCAAAGGCGACCGACCACACGAGTCGAAGGTAAAAAAAGAACATAATTGGTGAGACGGTTTGGCGTCTCTCGTGGAATGGTCACTTCTGGGACGAGCTTCGCATTTGGGCGACGTGACGCACTCCAACCTCACCCATAACCCATCGACCACGCCAAGATTTCCTCCCGCTGTCTGCCTTCAGAATCCCATCCAGAGATCAGGAGAGAGAGTTTGCAAAACCAACTTCGTTTTCGATTGAAGACGAGTTACACAAAGAGATCGTGTCGTTTTGTCATTTTGCTTTCTTGGCGATCGTGAATGAAGTGCAAATAAAACACCCATACGCACACTTCCAAACTTGCAAGCCAACTTTATTCATTGTTTCAAGATGCTTTGTTGATCAGGGCAGCTCCGCTGGAATAGTTGAGACGCAAGTCTCGTCTGGATGCTTGCGGGGTGCTCTCTGCTGCTCCCAACGGGGCCGGGGGCTGAAGAACCTGCAAAACCGAAAGGATCGGGGTGAAATCAAACTTGGTTTCAGATTGGGGAGGAAACATCGGATGACTTCTGAGGGCCCCGATAACTTTTCCCCCTCAAAGTATTCACCGTACATCGATCAACATTAAG